TTTTTGGGTGTAATTCGAATACAAACTACAGCCCCATGCGGAAAGGCAGGAAAATGGGGTGAAAAATCTTGTTGATGTTTGTGAGCATATCCTCAGGCCTCCACGAGTATATCCCTTCTGCAGGAAGCCTTGAAACTTTTTCTTCAGCCAGCACTTAACATTTTAAGCTATATGCCATTTTTGGGTACTTTTTGGGTTCATATGATATTTTCAGAACATTACGTCTATTTCTATGCATATTTCAAATACGAACTAAAACCACATGCAGAAGGGCCGGAAAAGGGGGCGAAAAATATTGCTGATATTTTTGAGCATATGCTCATGCCTCAACAAGTATAAGGAATGGAATTACGCACATTCGAGAGACAGCGATTAACCGCGAAAACGTTTTTTTCTCGATAAAGGGCGATTTTATTATCTCAAATGTAGCATCAAGCGAATACAAAGCATTTTGAGTAACATCCGGCCTCTGCATAACTAGGATACATACGGCCCAATATGAAGGTCTGACAAAAATTGATGGAAAAAAACCGACAAATCAGCAACAGTAGAGCCATATAGGCCGACACTATGCCTATGTTGATGGAGGTGGTAGATCGATCCGAAAGTTATGTTGCCACCCATATTGGGAAAAAACCTCCATAGCAACCTGCTCCAATCGCATACACACCGCCTTGAACAACGGTTGGTCCTCCGATTGTTGTAACATAGACCACATAAGTAGCAATTGCGTACACCGGAAAATAACCTGTAGAGGAGAAGCATTTCTTCCATTAAAAACAAAATAATTTCTACATAGCCAAAGCGACCAAATTAAGGCATACGCTCCCACCCTTATTAGCGTTTTGAACCTATTTGAAATACCGTCCAACCAATGACCAAAAATATTGGCAACAGTTGTGGGCGGATACAAATTTGATGCTATTTGGATGACTGGCCACATAGAACGTGCAAACTTGCATTTGAAAAGGAGGTGTTTGATTGTTTCGTCATGAGTAAAAAAACAACACTTCTTACTCCCTTGCCAGTCGCGTCGTGTGAGATTGTCTTTGGTTAACACAACCCCCCTACCAAGATACCACATGAAAATTCTCACTTTTAGTGGAATCTTGAACTTCCAAATTTTCTTGTTATTACTCACTGGTACCTTTGAATGTGTGAGCGCACGATACATAGAGTCTACAGTGAAAGACCCTGATGTAGTAAGGTTCCAGCGAAACACATCCCGTCCTTGTGTCAGGTTAATCGAATCCAGTCGGGATAAAAGATTATGCCATGACACAAGTCGGGGGCCAATCAAATCCCGCCTGAATGAAATATTCGGTGGGAATGAACTGAGCACTTGCGCAATAGTATTATTCTTATGGTGAACAATGTTGTATAAGCCTGGATATTGTTCTCGGAGACTGGCATTGCCTAGCCAGATGTCTTCCCCAAAACGAATCTCCGACCCATCCTTTATCGCGAAAGACCCAAAGCGAAAGAGGTGTTTCTTTGCCGCCATTAGGCCAGCCCAAAAGTGTGAATCGTCAGGTTTCCAAAATGCCTGGGACACCGCCTTTTGACCTAGATACTTGTTGTGCAGCATGGTTTGCCAAACACCATCCTCAGTAAGAAGTTTGAACAACCATTTACTGAGTAGGGCCTTGTTTTTGACCTGCAAGTCATGAATTCCGAGCCCTCCTTGGTCTTTAGGCCTACAAACCACGCTCCATTTGGCCAGCCTTTATTTTTTCTTTTCACCATCTCCTTGCCAAAAGAATCTGGATCTAAAATAATCCAGTCTTTTTAGGACCCCTTTTGGGAATTGAAAGAAAGAAAGCATATAGAGAACCATATTTGTGAGGACAGAGTTAATCAAAACCAACCGTCCTCCAACTGAGAGTAGTTTACCTTTCCAACTAGTCAACCGTTTCTCTAGACGCTCCTCTACATGCTTCCACTCCGCAATGGTGAGGCATCGATAATGAATCGGTATTCCCAGATATTTAATCGGGAATTGGCCATGTGCGCAACCAAATAGGTTAGGATAATCGGCCACCGCCTCAAAGGCTTCTTCAAAGCAGAACAATTCGCTTTTATGGAAGTTTATTTTGAGACCCGACATTTGCTCAAACGCTGAAAGCAAGAGTTTAGGTTTCGAGCCTTGTCGAGATCATGTTCCATAAAAAGAATTGTGTCATCGGCGTATTGTAAAATAGAGAGGCCACCATCCACAAGGTGTGGCACTACTCCTGCAATCTGGCCCTCCTGCTTGGCGCGCTCAATCAGAATCGCCAACATGTCAGCGACAATGTTAAATAACATTGGGGACATGGAGTCACCCTGTCGTAGTCTTTTTTTGTCTGAAAGTAATGGCCTACATCATCATTGACTTTGATGACCACACTACCGCCAGTTACAAAATTGTGGATCCACTGCCGCCATTTATCGGAGAAACGACCTTTCATCCTTAGGGCCTGTTGAAGGAAAGACCACTTGACCTTGTCATATGCCTTTTCAAAGTCAATTTTGAATATCACTCCACTCATGTTTTTTCGGTGCATCTCGTGGACAGTCTCATGCAAGATTACTACACCACCTAGTATATTTCGTCCTTGCATAAAGGTCGTTTGAGATGGACGGACAACACGGTCAGCTATCAAGTTTAACCTATTCGTAGCCACTTTGGTGAAAATCTTGAAGCTAACATTAAGGAGACATATGGGTCTGAACTGCTGAATCCGTTCAGCCTCCTTAATCTTCGGCAACAAAACAATCTCACCAAAATTTATTCTGAATAGATCAAGTCGATCGACATGAAGACAATTGAACAACTCCAAAAGGTCAGCCTTGATGATATCCCAGAAATTCTGATAGAATTCTGCGGGGAAACCATCAAGGCCTGGTGCTTTGTTGTGTTCCATTTGGAACACCGCCGCTCTCACCTCCTCTTCTGAGAAAGGTGCTGTGAGGATATCATTCTCTTCTGCCGTGACTTGTGGAATATCACCTGTTCGGGTCTCGTCAAGGGTGACATTCCCTTCACCCAACGCTCCGAACAAAGATTTGTAGTAGCTGGTGATATAGTTTTTGAGCTCCCTTTGACCTTCGATCTGCCCCTCATCCTGTTGGAGACTATGAATACATTTCTTCCTATGTCAACCATTGGTGAGCAATTGGAAGTATCTTGTATTACTATCTCCCATTAGAATGAAGTCAGCTTTGGACCTCTGGTAGTATTTGATCTCCTCTTCTCGCAGAAGACGGGCAACCTTCTCATTAGATTGATTTTTCAATTCAATCTCATGTTGAGATAAGGTGCGGGTCTCTGCAATTTTGTCGAGGTCATCAATGATGGTACAAAGGCGCTGCTTTTCTTTTGTATATAACCCATTGATGTGTTTCGCCCATCCAGAGAGGTGTTGCCTCATGGCCCTTATTTTATAATTCCATCTCTGAATCGGTGTACGATCAATGGCTGGCCTCTCCCAAACTTTCTTGATTATTTCTACAAAACCTTCCCGGTGCAGCCATGCCAATTCAAATTTGAAAGGGTGGCGGGAAGAATGGATCGTAGAATTAGAATCAAGAATGATTGGTGCATGATCTGATAATGCCTCGATTCTCTGTAGGGCTCATACGGTTACCATATGAAATTTTAGCTCCCATTCGGTATCCATGAGTACCCTATCGAGCTTCTCGTACGTTGGCACAGAACGGTTATTAGCCCAAATGAACTGCCGCCCCGACATACAAGCTTCCCGAAGGTCCAAACTATCAATGACAACATTGAATAGGAAAGGCCAGTGAGTGTCGAAGAGGTCATTATTTTTTTCTTCTTGGTACCTAAGGATATTGAAATCCCCTCCAATAAGCATTGGGTACGGGTTATCCTTAGCCAGATTCACCAGTTCACGAAGGAAAGCGGATTGATGCTCATCTTGGGCAGCCCCATAGGCTCCATGTAAAATTATCAGCCCTGTTTCATAGGTAAAATTTGATATGAAATTCACCGGTCGAAAAGGCCAACAAGTCCATTGCCGTGGTCTGTATCCCAAGAAGGATTCCTCCGGACCTTCCACGAGCTGGTAGACTATGCCATTTGTAGTGGAAACCACCAGATAGGTGATCGAGGACGTGCGGGCGAAAATGTAACTAATTTGTCTTTTCATTCCTAGAAATGGAGATATGTTTTGAAAAACCTGAAACTTGGCAATGTCATGATATGCTCTCAGTAGGCCGTAGTAAAAAATTCAGCCAGTTTAAGGAAGTTTGTCATCCCACGTGCTTAAAACAAAAACATCTCAGAGGAAGACTCGTGGTTACAAGAAGAGGCGGGTCAAGTTTAAGGGCGATGTGACGGTCCCTTCGTCGGGCGGCCTTGAAACTTTTTCTTCAGTCAACACTTAACGTTTTAAGCTATATGCAACAACCACTAGGATATTTGTACCTTCAGTGTAAACTAAAATACAGTTATATCTTACATATTACAAATTCTATATGTTTTCATCTTTAGTAAGTGTATGATTTTGACCACAATATGTAATAGTAGTAGTATTTTTTTTCTTCAAAAAGGAGGTTAAACCCCCCGCCCTCCATCATAGCAATGCACACAGCTATAGAGGTAGTAGTACGTAACTGATTACAATGTTACATGTACTACCACGTTTGAAGTCACTGTTACTCTAGTGAAGGACGCTCTTCTGTTTTCCGTCCCACATATGATGTTTTAATTGCATGAATTTTGCTGGCCACCTCTTTCATGTTCATTCGTTCGCTTGGTACTGGGTGCGTACAGGAAAGTGCTAGTTGCAGCATAGATACCAAGCATTCACGAACATAATTTTCTGAAGCCTTGTTTGCTTGAGTAATGTCAACCCCTGAGTCTTCGCTGAGATTGACGTCAATGACATGAACTATTTCATGTGGAAAGTTGCTATCCACAAAGTCGACAATGCTAACTCCATCCTTGAACATAGGATCTGTGGGTCTTTTTCCAGTCATCATTTCCAGCAGTATTATCCCAAAACCATAAACATCTCCAGTGGTTGATGCACGGCGGCCACCTCCGGCGTACTCTACAGTGAGAGATACATATAGATGATACAGTATGTAAGTATTGAGTAGTGGGTGGTCTTAGATAAACTGAAGGTAAGAAAGAACCATGTTTAGATAAACTATAGTACCCTTCACACCGACTGATGATGAACTCATTGAACTGGTTGATGTTGACCATGAATCTTGGTAGAAACTTGCAATTCCAAAGTCTCCCAAAAGAGCAGTCATATCACCATCAAGAAGAATATTGCTTGGCTTCAAATCACAATGGATGGTGGGTCTTCCGCAGTCATGGTGTAGATAATCCAGTGCGTCAGCCATGTTGACAGCTATGTCTAATCTTTGAGCTAAGCTTAAATGTTTATGAGCCTTCCCGTCCTCTCTGGGATGCAGCCATGTGTCTAGGTTCCCATTAGGCATGAACTCATAAACTAAAGCTTTGAAAACATTGCCTGTACTGTCTACTGTCGAGCAAGCGGTAAGGATGGGAAGAAGATTTCTATGCTGAATGCTTCGCAGTGCCTCACATTCTTTCAGAAAGCTTTTCTCTGCTCCGTGCATCTCAAGATCAAAAACCTTGACAGCCACATCCACCTTAGATTCCTTCAACTTTCCTCTATACACAGAACCATAACCTCCTCTTCCAACCAGGTTAGACTCCGAGAAGTTTGCTGTGGCTTGTGCTAGATCTGCATAAGAAACCTTCATAAAGTTCTCCCCTAGTGAAGTTGATGTATCATCTGTCCTCCTTCGCATCTTCTTCTCAAGGAGTAAAAGGTAGACCAACAATATGACTGACATGAACCCGAATATTGGGATCAGCACTTTAATCAAACGGTTTCGTCTCTCTGATTGCTTGGAAATGGTTTTGCATGAAGCCATGTGGAAAAACACGGCGCCTCCACAGAGCCCCCAATTATCCTCAAGTGAAATGGCTGTAGCATTGTCAAACACTCCATATATGGGTATTTCTCCTTGAAGATGATTATGAGAAAGGTCAAGACTGTTGAGGAACTTCAGTGTGTTTAGAACTGTCGGTATGTTGCCTGACAAGTTGTTGTGTGAAAGATTTAGCATGCTCAGAGACGACAGGTTGCCAAAAGTTGCTGGGATGTTTCCGATAAGAGAGTTTTGGTCCATTTGTAGACTCACTAAGTCGTAACATTGGCCCAAAGAATCAGGAATTTGTCCGGTAAGCATATTTGAAGAAAGATCTAATGTGGTGAGGTGTTTAAGGGTACCAATCTCAGGAATGGCACCTTGAAGATTATTGTGGCCGACGTTCAATATTGTTAGTTCTTGGAGGTTCCAAAAGTTTGGTGGTATATGCCCTTGGAGATTGTTATAGCCAAGGTCTAGCTTCGAGAGTGGAAGGTTTCCTAAGCTAGCTGGTATCAGGCCATCGAATTCATTGTCATTTATGTAGAAATATGTCAAGTTAACAAGATTGCCAATAGAGGATGGTGTAAGACAATAGGCTTTGGGGGGAACTGGCACAACCCTCTAGGGGTGGCCTATCACATATATATATAATGAGGTGGTATACAACGTTACAATATACACATGTAAATAGAGTCTAACACCCTCCCTCAATCTTAGCCACTTTCTAATGAATCTAGAAGGGTAAGATTGCGCCTGCAAGTCTCAAACTGTGGCAAAGGCAATGGCTTGGTGAAGATGTCAGCAAGTTGATCCTTGGAAGAAATAAACTTGATCTGTAGTTGCTTCTGAGAGACACGTTCACGCACAAAGTGATAGTCAACTTCAATGTGTTTCGTTCGGGCATGGAATACCGGATTTGCAGAAAGGTATGTAGCACCGATGTTATCACACCAAAGAACAGGAGGCTGTGATTGGGGTATACTTAACTCCTGAAGCAAGGACTGTACCCAGATGATCTCTGATGTGGCATTGGCCACAGCCTTATACTCAGCCTCAGTACTGCTACGCGAGACAGTAGCCTGTTTCCGAGCACTCCAGGCAATCAGGTTAGAGCCAAAGAAGACAGCATAACCCCCCGTGGATCGCCTGTCATCCGGATTGCCAGCCCAGTCTGCATCAGAATATGCTGAAAGACAACCAGAGTCAGACGGCCGAATATGCAAACCATGAGCCACCGTGAAACGAATATAGCGCAAAATCCGCTTAACAGCAGACCAATGAGTGTCACGGGGTGACTGCAGATACTGGCAGACTCGGTTAACAGCATAGGAAATGTCTGGTCGCGTGATCGTCAAGTACTGGAGCCCACCAACAATACTCCTGTACTCTGTCGCATCAGAAGAAGAAAGAAGCACACCATCAACAGCATTGAGCTTATCAGTGGTAGACATGGGTGTAGTCGTTGGTTTGCACTTAAGCATCCCAGCTCGCTGCAACAAATCCAGAGAGTACTTCTTCTGCGTCATAACAAGGCCAGCATCACGAGAAGTAACCTCCACACCAAGAAAGTAATGAAGCTTCCCAAGGTCCTTGACCGCAAAATCAGCACCAAGTGAGCGAACAAGCGCAGTAGCAGCCGACTGAGAGGAGCTGACCAAAATGATATCATCTACATAGACCAACAAGTACATAGTAACCTCAGGCCTTTGAAGAAGAAACAATGAGGAGTCAGCAGTTGATGATGCAAAACCATGAGCACGAAGAGCCATTGCAAGACGAGCATGCCAAGCACGAGGAGCCTGCTTCAGACCATAAATTGCCTTGGACAGACGACAGAGATGATCGGGGCGATCCGGATCAGAGAAACCCGGAGGCTGGCGCATGTAAACCTCCTCCGCCAAGACACCATGAAGAAAAGCATTTTGAACATCAAGCTGACGAAGAAACCAACCTCGAGTAACAGCCAGAGAGAGAAGAAGTCTGATGGTAGTAGGCTTGACCACTAGACTGAAGGTGTCTTCATAGTCAAGTCCAAAACGCTGGCGAAAACCACGAGCAACCAGACGAGCCTTATAGCGCTCAATGGACCCATCAGAATGCCTCTTCACTTTGAAAACCCATTTGGAATCAATGACATTTACCCGTGATTGTGGAGGAACAAGAGTCCATGTCTGATTGCGAAGAAGCGCTTGATACTCCTGCTCCATGGCCTCTCTCCAATGAGGAATGCGCATAGCAGCTTGATACGTGCGTGGCTCAGAGGATGGATCTGCGAGAGCAGCAGACATGCACGCCGCTAACCAAGCAACTGTGCCATCGTGACGTTGCTTAGGCTGAAAAATGCCACTCCGACTGCGCGTATGTGGACGTAGAGCAGCAGCAGGAGCCGGCGGAGGCGAAGGTGACGGAGACGTGACGGTCGCCGGAGATGCAGGAATCACCTCTGGCGAGCTCGGGACAGACGACTCCGGGCTGCATGGCGAAGACTGGCCCGACGACAGGGGCTCAGAGGCCATGGGCGAACCGAGAGTGGGCGAGGCCAGCTCCGGTGACACCGGCCCAGACGGCCTTGGCGAGGCGGGGGCGGGCGAGGCCAGGCCTGGTGATGACTGCCCCGACGCCCTGGGCGAGACGGGGACCGAGGAGGCCGGCCCAGTCGGCGGGGTTGCAGGGCGCGACGATGGCGAAGGCAGCCCAGAAGCCAGAGGCGACCGGGCCAGGACATCGATCGGCCGTGCATGAGCACGGAAACCAAGGCCATGCAGGGGCGCCATGTGCTTCTCATGCACAACAGAAGGTGCCGAGGATGAAGGCGATGTCGACGAAGAGGAAGATGGCACTTCCAGAATCTCCAAACGAGCCCCACGACCAGTGCCTGCACCATGGTTAGGCAACAATAGAGGAGAATATGCAACATCATCAAATTGGTCAGAAGCAACAGAGGATGAATGCATGACAGGTGGCTCGGTAGTAGACACAGGGAGTTTGGCAAAGGGAAAAACATGCTCATCAAACACAACATCCCGAGAGATGTAGACACGATTAGTGGGCACATGAAGACATTTGTATCCTTTATGAAGAGAGCTATAACCAAGAAAAACACACTTCTTGGAACGAAACTCGAGCTTACGCTTGTTATATGGACGGAGATGGGGCCAGCAAGCACACCCAAACACCTTGAGAAAGGTGTAGTCCGGTTGTTCATTAAGGAGAACTTCAATGGGAGTCTTCATATTCAAAACACGAGTGGGAGTACGATTGATGAGAAAACATGCAGTGGTGAAAGCATCACTCCAAAAACGAAACGGAACAGATGCATGGGCCAAAAGAGTCAGACCAGCTTCAACAATGTGACGATGCTTACGTTCTACTGAACCATTCTGCTGATGTGTATGTGGACATGCTAAACGGTGAGTGATCCCAAGCGACTGAAAGAAGGAGTTGAGGTTGCGATACTCGCCACCCCAGTCCGACTGAACATGAACAATTTTGTGCTTGAGAAGGCGTTCAACATGTTTTTGGAACTGAACAAAAATGTCAAACACATCAGATTTACGTTTGATAAGATAAAGCTAGGTAAAGCGGCTGTAAGCATCAACAAAACTGATATAGTAATTATGACCACTAACAGAAGTCTGAGCAGGACCCCATACATCTGAAAACATAAGTTCTAAAGGATGTTTCACCTCACGACTGGACTCCGAAAAAGGAAGTTGATGACTCTTCCCCTGCTGACAAGCATCACACACTGCTACATCTTTATTACTAGACACACTAGGAAGCTCATGACGACGCAAAACATGCCGGACAATAGGTGTGGCCGGGTGACCAAGACGAGCATGCCACTGTGACGGAGATACCCGAACTCCACTAAAGACGCGAGCGACGCCAGGATGCTCCAGACGATAGAGACCTTGGCAGAGCCGCCCACTAAGAAGAATGTCCCTCGTGCCCCGATCCTTAATAAAAAGATCAAAAGGATGAAATTCACAAAGCACATTATTATCACGAGTGAGTTTAGGAACTGAAAGAAGATTACGTGTCACAGATGGAACTCGAAGAACATTGCGAAGTTGAAGACTCCTATTGGCATGTCTAGTGAGAAGTGATGCTTGACCAATATGAGAGATGTGCATACCTGCTCCATTGGCGGTGTGGATCTTGTCGGAGCCATGGTAGGGTTCACGGGTGTGAAGCTTCCCCATCTCACTGGTCAGGTGCTCTGTCGCCCCAGAGTCCATGTACCAGTGGGGATCAATGGAGTAGGACTGAGTGTGTCCCTGTGGCTTCTGCGGCGGCGGACGATCAGCCATGGCGACCTGACGAGCAAAGTTGCGTGTATCCTTCCCATCATTGCCGAGACCAAGAAAACCCCGCTGGAAGCGCTTGTGACACTTCGAGGCCCAGTGCCCATCGCGACCACAAAGCTGGCACACACGTGGACCGCCAGCCCCTGGTAGCGTCGCAGTAGGAGGAGGGGCCGAGGCGGGTGGTGGTGACTGCCCCGAAGGAGCCCTGGATGAAACAGAGGAGCGACCACCCTTGGTGGCGGCGTTTGCTGAGAGGGCGCCGTTGCCCCTGGATCGGCGCGTCTCGACTCGTTGCTCAGTAAGCAGGAGGCGTGAAAAGACCTCGTGTGCTGGCATGGGCGTGGAGTTGCCCCTCTCATTGATGATCTCGACTAGGGCGTCATACTCCTCATCAAGACCATTGACAATAAACGAGTTGAACTCGGAGTCGGTGAGGGGCTGTCCAATGGAGGCCAGCGTGTCGGCGAGACTCTTGACTTTGTTGTAGAACTCAGTGGCGGTGGAGTCAAGCTTCTGACACTCCCCAAGTTGGCGACGGAGCCCAGATACACGAGCCTGCGACTGTGCCGCAAACGAGCGCTCAAGAATAGTCCATGCCTCGTGGGACGTCTTGGCGAAGACAACAAGCCCAGCAACGGCCGGAGAGAGCGACCCCTGGATGGAGGAGAGGTTCGCCTGATCCTGCCCTGTCCAGACACGGTGAGCCGGATTATAGACCGGACCGTGCACGCTGTCAACCAGCGCAGGAGGGCAAAGGAGAGAGCCGTCGACATAGCCAAGCAGATAGTGACTCCCAAGAAGCGGAAGAACCTGCGCGCGCCAGAAGATGTAATTGTCCGACGACAACTTGATGGTGATGAGATGGCCGAAGTGAAACGGCGGCGGCGGCTGCGATCCCATCGAGGAGACTGGTTGAGGTGAGACCACGGTGGAGACAGTCAGAGGGGCAGCCGGCGCGGTGACAGAGGGCGTGATGGCCGCGGTTGACGCCGCGAAGCCTGCCAGCGCGACGTCCTCCGCCACCAGCGGCGCAGTGGCCGAGGGCGCGACAGCCGCGGTTGACGGGGCGGCGGCGGTGTGGGCCACAAGCGCCTGCCCGGGCGAAGTAGCAGCCGGCGGGAGCGCGAAGAGGGAGTCGACACTCCGTGTCCCGATCGGCGCCTGAAGGGAGGCGGCATCCAGCGGCCTCGAGAGAAGTGCCGTGAGGGAGGCCGGCAGAAAACCGGTGGCGGTGGAGCCGGACGCAGCGGCAGACGTCATAGCAGTCGGGCGACGGCGACGGCGGGCGCGGCGGCGGCGGCGGCGGCGGCGGCGGTTTTAGGGTTTTTAGGCGGAAGCGGACATAACCTAGCGTGATACCATGTAAGACAATAGGCTTTGGGGGGAACTGGCACAACCCTCTAGGGGTGGCCTATCACATATATATATAATGAGGTGGTATACAACGTTACAATATACACATGTAAATACAGTCTAACAGATGGGATTGGGCCGTGAAGTGGTTTGACTTGAGATTTAGTAATTGAAGGGAAGTTAGGTTTCCAACCCATCCTTCGACTCTACCACTTAAATAGTTTTCGCCTAGTGCAAGTTGAGTTAAGGCATTAAGTTTTCTGATGCTCTGGGGTACTTGTCCAGACAAGTTGTTTCCAGTCAGCCGAAGACTCTCAAGGCTGGGGGATAGATTACCAACGGACTGGGGAATAGGTCCCTGGAGCTGATTGTAAGAGAGTGATAGTTTCTTTAGGGATCGACAATTTGTCAATGCATTTAAGAATTCCCAGTCTCTGTTGTCCCTTGTTTCAAGCTGGTTATACTCAAGGTTTAGAATAGTCAGACTTGAAAGATTTCGAAAAGAAGTAGGAATTATCCCAGTGAAACTGTTATTTGATAAATCTATCAGTTCTAAACCTTGAGCGCTGCCTAGGGAAGCTGGGATGTTACCTTCAAACATGTTACCAGCCAAGGTAAGTTCAATGAGATTAGGCAGACGGTCGCCAATATTAGTTGGCAATGCATTGCGTAGCATATTGGACCCCAAGCCTAAATATTTGAGTGAACCTAAAGAGTTCAAGATGGCATGCGTGGGAATTCACCTGTAAGCTTATTGTTGCCTAGGAGCAGCTGTTCCAATTGCAGCAATTGCCCAAGCTCATCAGGAATGCTCCCCTCGAGTTGGTTTGATCCAAGATAGAGATATTCTAGATTTTTAAGAAAGCCTAATCTCGGAGGAATTTGACCCACTAGTGAGTTTCCAGAGAGATCCAAGTAGAACAGTTTCGAAAGTAAGTCTAGTTTGGGAGGAATTTGACCCACTAGCAAGTTTACAGAGAGATCTACGACGGTCAGATTGGAAAGGAAGCCCAGTTTCGTAGGAATTACGCCCGCTAGGGAATTTCTGGATAGGTTTAAGTAGGACATATTTGAAAGCAGGTCTAATTTTGGTGGAATTACGCCAACTAGCGAGTTTGCGGATAGATCTAAGTTGGCCAAGTTGGAACAATTGGTAATTGAATCAGGAATCATCCCATTTAAACGGTTGTGGTACAGATAAAGTGTCTGCAATCGTTGGAGATTGCCAAGGATAGGCAAGGGGCCAACGAAGTTATTGTATGAAAGGTCAAGCGTTTCAAGGAAATTTAAGTTTCCAAGAGAGGAGGTGATTTGGCCTCCTAAGTTCCAGCCGCTGAGTTTAAGCTGCTTGACACGGAACGGTGGTGTCGTGGTGCAGTTGACACCATTCCAGTGGCAGAAGTGGGTTGTGGTGTCCCAGTTACTCAAGGCTCCTTGAGGATCGTCGGTGATGCTCTTGTTGAACTCAATTAGCGAGTGCAGATCGACGCTATTCTCGTGGATCCTTGAGCAATGAACGTTGCGAACTCCATTGCAGAGCAGCAGCAACGCCAGCAGTAAAAGCATGGCGAGCTTCGCCAGTTGCTTGGGAGAACGCATTTGGCACTCGTCACCTGCAAAACGTAAACATAAACTTGGTGGCAAATTATAAACCGCATGTTTACTAGCCGATTTAGGTTGCGCCCATGCTGTAACCAGCTATGAACAATCAATACGTGTGGACGCGACATTGAGTACCAGCGGTCAGTTATTTGAAGCGTAACGGAGTAACTTTAGCAAATGGTTGCATTTCACCCACAAGTCTGACAGCAAGATATACTCCTACAAGCCAAAAGAAATAATCAAGGAGAGAGAAAACGCACCTCTGCTCGGCCGGGGAGCACAACAGTACAGTACAGGAGCCGTTTGTGCGTGGATTTGCCGGATGGTGGTGTATGAGCTGTGAAGTGTGAGTTAGATGCTCAGCTGGCCGAGGCCCCAGGGGTTTAAAAACACATTTACGGCGTCCTCGCATCCACACACATCCATCTCATCTGAATTTCTCACGAATTATCTTAAGCTTGACCGCGGCTACAGCGAAGACCTGGAATCCTTCAAACTTTCCAGTAAACGCTTCTTTTCACCTCTTGTCGCCCACCGGTGTGGTCGCTGTTTGAGCTGGACAAGGTTGTTGCGGCATGTCTAGCCTCGAATCGCACGGGTCTACCGATTGTCCAGCTATATACTTTTCGACCGGAAACAGACAGAGATTTTCTGCACTGATGTGCGACCTCTCTCCAGCGGTTACGATGCTGATAAACATCAGCATGTGGAACGGTTTACTGGTCTGAGGTTCTCGTTTTTCAGTTACATTGTTTTTTCGTCAAAAGAAAATTATGGTTGGTTCTTTACGATGGCGAAGCGTATTGTGTGGATATGGTTCGATTCTCGATTATTTGGATCGACTAGCGGGTCAAGTAAACTTGTATCTGTTCGATATGGACGAAAGAGCCACGATACAGAAGCCGTAGCTTCCACGGAGGTTACTTTGAGGGTAGACAAGAGGATGCATATGATACTAGTGTATGATACTACCTCCCTAGGATTCCGCTCCTAGCGCTCTCCCCTAGCGCTCCGCTCTGCGCCGGCAGCCACTCCGGCGCCGGCGGCCACCCAAAAGCGCCGCCTTCCACTCCGCGGGGCCATGGCCTCTAGGGTCTCCCTCTCTGGTTCGTTTTCGTCGGAGTCCGACGCTCCCCTGTCTCCTTCCCCCCACGTGGTGCCTCTTTCCTCTCCTCCCCCCCGCGCCGCCGCGGCCTCAGCTTTGCTCCACCATCGCCGTCCCCCAGATCTTGGGCACCCCTTTCGTGCCGGCGGGGCCCTCCCGCGCTCCGACGATGCGCCCGACGCATGGTGGATGGCAGACCAAGCTGCCTCGGCGCCCGCGTGTGCCGCTGACCCGCGCCCAGCGCCCGCCACGCCGGCGGCAGGAGGGGCGGAGGCGTGTCCTGACGGCGGCTCGCCCTCCTCCCTCCTCCAAGCTCCCGGTGGAGTTGTATGGCTACTGCTACAACTGCGGCAGTCATGGGCATATCTCCAGGGAGTGCACGAACCCCACGCTCTGCGTTCGTTGCCATGGGCCTGGTCACACCTCGCGGGGCTGCACCCGTCCGCGCAGCCCATCTCCGGTGGAGCAGCCGCCGCGCCCGCCGCCTGCTCTGCGACTTCGGGCTGGGCTGCGGATGGCCCGCGCCAGGCATCGCCAGCTTCGCCCCCGCGCTCGCTGTCGCCGGCCCCACGCTCGCGCTCGCCAGCGGACCTGTCGCCCCCTCCGTCGGGTCCCCCGCCGCCGGGTGCGGTGCGTCTTTGGAGCCAGGTGGTGTGGGATCCGCCCGTGGCGCGGTCACCGTCAATGGGAAGATCTGCAAGTCCGGCGTTCTCGGCGCCTTTCGACCTGCCGGAGGACCAGCGCTCTCGGCCGGACCTGTGCTGGGATGGGGAGGTGGAGGCGTGCTTTCTGGAAGCTGCGGAAGATACGCGCTCGCTTGAAGCCGAGCTGGCGCGGGTGTGTTGGTCACCGTCGTCGGCACCAGGCCGGTGGTGGATGTGGACGCGGCGGCGGCTGCGTTGCATGTCGCGTTCGGCGTTGGACCGGCGGAGATGTCCATTCGGCGCTTCTTCCCCGAGGATTTCCTCGTGCTCTGCCATGATGGTGCTCTTCGGGAGTGCATGGTGCGCGCCGGACATGTGGAGGCGCCCTAGTTCGAGCTCTCTCTGCGCCCATGGATTCGGCAGGCTCAGGCGACGGCGGCTTCCTTGCCGTACCTTGTCCCGATTTCGCTCCGGGGTGTGCCGGCGCATGTGTGGTGCCGGCGGACTGCCAGTGTGATCCTGCGTGGACTGGGCTACGTCGTCGGGGTTGACGAGGATACTGCAGGCAGGATTGACATGGCGGACTTCAGGGTCTGGTTGCGCACGGACCGGCCCAGACGGATCCCCAGTCGGCGTCTCCTCTTCATTGACGAGCCAAGGCGCACGCTTTGGTCGGAGGCGGATGGACGACGGTCGGCGGCCGGGCGTTGCTCAAGCGCGTTCTGGTACCCCATCGAGATCCGGGTGCTGCCGGGCATCATGGTGGATGGTGACGGGGCGGCGCCGCCGCCGCCACCGCCACCGCCTCCCTCCCCTCCCACCGAAGACGATGGTCGTGGCAGGGGGTCCTCTGGTGATGGAGGTAGGGGAAGCCATTCTCGCCGCGCTGGCGGTGGCTCAGTGCATACGGCGGAGTCCTCGACGGCGGCGCCACCGCCGGCGGGTGCGCGTGCGTGCGTTCAAACCGCGCCTGTCTCGGTAGACCCGGTAGTCAACAACAGCTGTGGCGCTGGCGTCAGAGATTCCTTCGTGGGGCCGATGGACCGGCCTTTGGGCGTGGATAGGCCTAGGGCCGCCAGCTGGTCTGGCTCGCAGGTGGCGTCCTGTGCGGTCCCAGTCGGGGTGCTGCAGACCGTTGGTTCCCCTCCCTCGGTGCAATTGGCCAGATGGCGACGAAGCATGGGGATAGGATAGAGCGCTTTTCAGGTTGTAGGGCCCGGCGCGTCGGGGCTGCTGCCCTCTGCTGGGCAGAGCTTGGTGGACTCGGTCCAGATTGGTGGGTTGCTAATCCCACTGCAGGACAGGTTTTTGGAGGAGCACGTTTCGGTTGAGGTTGGTGCAGCTGTGCAGGTGCTGTCGCTCTCATGCACGGTTTCGAATGGGATAGGGCAAGTAGAGGCTTGGGAGACTTTCCAAGTCAGCTTGTCAGGTGGAGACTGCAGCCCAATGCATGCCGTCAGGCCAGACACGCCTTTGGGGACTGCCCAGTTGGCTCCGCTGGAAGACAAGGACGGCCCAGCCCGGGTTTCCACGCCATGCACGCCCGGGATCGGGGAACCGGTGGCCCCGCTTGATGCTGGCCGTGTGCTGGCACCAGGCCAGAGGCCATGCACGACGGCAGCCATGCAGATCGCCCCAGGGAGGGATTTTAACGTGGATTTGGCCGATTTTTGTGCTGACATGTGTGTGCCAGTTTCTCCCGTGCTGCCGAGGCCTTCTGGTCGTGACATTGCCAACCCAGGGCGCCAGATCAGGAAGAAGCAAAGGCTGGACACAACTCCTAGGCGTAGCGCTAGGATTGCCAAGCGGGCGGCGACCAAGCAACAACAAGTTCTTATCCGGAAATTATGCTTGGCTCATGAAGGCGAGGTTATCTCCGAGGAGGCATTACGGATGTATGTGGACCTGTTCGCATGGCCACTCTCGGATGCGCACATTGCGGCTATTCTAGCCTTGTTCTGCTGGGAGTCACCCCCGATGTCATTGGTGGACAGCCACATTGGGGTCTAGCTGCGTGGTCAGCCGAGTGGTATGTGCGGGCACTCCAATGAATGCGCACCCGTTAAAAGTTTTAGTGTGGAATGTTCGTGGGCTGAACGCTCGAGCTAGGAGGAACACGTTGTATCAAGTGGTGGTGGCGGCCAATCCGGCAGTCGTCTGTCTTCAGGAAACTAAGCTCCAAATTGTATCGGTGAACGATGTGAGGTAATGCCTCGGAAACAAATATGAAAACTTTTTTTACTTGCCGGCGGTGGGTACTCGTGGCGGGATTCTGGTAGCTTGGGATGACTCTGTCACCCATATATCCAACCCACATTACACTAACCATACGTTGACGGTGCTGGTTAAGTGCCCGGATGATGAGCAGGCATGGTGGCTCACAAGTGTCTATGGGCCGCAAGAGGAAGCAGACAAAATCGAGTTTATGCAAGACTTGGTGGATATCCGGGATCTGCACGCAGGGCCGTGGGTGGTGGCTGGAGATTTCAATCTCTTGGCTAGGCAGGAGGACAAAAGTAATGAGCTGGTGAACCGAAGGATGTTGGGAAGGTTTAGAGCAAAGCTAAACAGATTGGAGCTCAAGGAGCTGTACCTTAATGGGAGGCACTATACCTGGTCGAATGAGAGGCGAAACGCCACGATGGAGAAAATTGATCACGTGTTTGTCTCCAACGAGTGGGACGAGGCATTTCCGTCATGCTTCCTGTCCGCTCTGGGGACGGCGATTTCGGACCACTGCCCACTTATCTTGGATATGAATGTGGAGGTTAGTATGAGGAAAAGATTCAGGTTCGAGGCGTTTTGGGTCAAGGCTCAGGGTTTTTTGGACGTGGTGCAAGAGGCCTGGGTTTCGACACCTGAGGCGACCAACGTGTACCTCACGCTACATAATAAACTGCGGGCTACGGCAATAAGCCTTCAACGGTGGAGCACTCGCTGGATTGGCAATGTGAAACTGCAAATTTCCATTGCTCTGGAGGTCATAAAGCAATTGGACATTGCGATGGACAATGGGCCACTTTCGGATGCGGAAAGAGGCTTGAGGAGTTGCTTAAAGAAGAAGCTGCTAGGGCTGGCCTCCCTTGAAAGAACCATAGCAAGACAGAGATCGCGTTTGTTGCGGTTGCGTGAAGGGGATGGCAGTACAAGGCTCTTCCATCAACAGGCGAGTCATCGGCAGCGCAAGAATGTCCTCCGCTCGGTCAAGCACAACGGGCGCATATACTCTGGCCAGGAGGAGGTGGCTT